GGGGGGCGGGGGGGGGAGAAGTGCGTGTAGGCGGCCAGGCTCGCATTTCGCTCCGCGGATCCCGCGCGAGGAGACCGGGCCTCCCTCTCCCCACTGCCGGGTAACCGGGCAGTGCTGGCCGGGGGCGGGGTGAAGCCCCGGGAAGCACTGCCCGGGCAGCAGTGCCCAGGCAGAGCCGGCAGCCCAGCCTTGCGCTCCTGGCTTCTGAGAGCCCCGGAAAGTGAGCGGCCTTAGTATTAGGTCCTTTCTTCTGCCACCACGTTACCTCCACGAAGGAAAGACTCACCTTTTGTAAAGCGGAGCACGTGGGTGGCCCACGGTCTGGTGCAGAAACCACCCACCTGTATTGAGCGTTTAGCGCAGGCCTGATTCTCTGCTTAGAGCTTTATTTGGAGCACAGCCCAGCGCGTGGCAGACCCACTGTTCTGCGAGTTTACTGACTCGCCCGAGGTCCTGCAGCTGCGGCACAGGAGGTGAACCCCGGCGGGCCGATCCCTGGCTGCTGTCGGCGCTGCACCATATGCCACCCACCTCTCCCAAGGCAGCCCAGGGCTCTTGTGAGACTCTTCAAGGGTTTATGCAGGTAGTGCTGGAAATGCAGGCCCAAAAGGAACATATTACTTCATTCTTTGGGGCCATTCCTTTCTCTCTATATAGGTGCGAAAGGGAAGGAAAAGATACTTAAACATACTCAGGGACAGGCAGTAAAGACTCAGCTGCCTCGGGCACAGGGGGGGGCTCATCTCAGCACGGAGGAAGCCCCCCGAGTGAGGGCAGGGAGCGCACCTTTTGGCCTCTGATGCACCACGGACCGTGCGGGTCCGTGGTAGATATTTAGGCCTCCCCCGCATGTTTAGACAGGGAGACTGAATCTCTGAAGATTGGGCACTTTTACCCCAGGTCACACAGCTAGCAGTGGTGGAATATATCGGAGGCCAAGAGGGGGGCCACCCCGAGCAGCAGCACAGGCGGGCTCGACTGCCGCAGCACAGGGCAGAGGAGAGATGCAGGCAGGCGGCCAGCGGAACCAGATGTTCACGCACATCGTGGTGACC